AAAGAACTGCACAGCAGACTGACTCACCCCAAGGAATGACTTGAGAGGGAATTATGGGTATAAGTACATAGATGTTGACATCTGATAAGCGGCAGTTCCTCATGCTTGGAAAGTCAAGTTTAAGGATCAGTTTACTCAGCATACAAAGACAAATATTTTGTCACTTCACCAAGCGGTGTGTTGCCATGGAGATAGTTTAAGGTTATGGCATCAGAAACTTGTTCCTCTGCCCCAGTACACTGGAAGCAATTGGAAATTGTCGGACAACGGTTTTCATTGGCACTTCTTTCTTTTGCAAGAAAGTAGTTCCATGGCTATGTGCCAGTAGGGTTCTGTCACTGTTATGTGTTACTAATTGAGGCAAACACCAAGGGCGATGACTAAAGCTACTTACGACCCTCAAAACTTTTGTTTACAAGCTCAGCTTCACTTGTAAACGGCCAAACACACCCGCTCTGGTTAAAGGTCTTGGTGTGCTTCCATCTAACTGGATCATACTATGTGTGAAAGGTGGGGTGAAAAGTCTCTGTCAGTCTCTACTGGCTGCAACCCACTGTGTCCCCCATCTCTCCAACAACTGCGTCTTTGTACACAATGAATGTTTTGCTTTCACAGAATTAAATTGAATTACCGGCCTGTAGATATATGCCTCCTTCAACATCCATGACATGACAGACATCCATGTCTGTATATTCACCAAACAAATGTGGGCTACTAGTGACTATACAGAATTTTACACTTCAGCTAGAAAAACTGTCCATAGAAATTGTAAAGATTTGATTTGACTTGATTAGAAGTATTCAGTAGTGAACTGTTGTGAATTGTACTGAGGAAATGCTGGAATTTTACAGAAATGTCTGTTTAACATTGATGGACATGTCCGTGAAAGGTCCAGAGGATATACCATAAAGGTATGGAATTTCCGTTTTAGGATTAACAGAAGTGTCTGTGAAAGGTTCAATGGATATACTGTAAATCTAAAGAATTCGGGTTGTAGGCTTTTTTTAATTTTATTTTTTTATTACAGTGTAGACTCATATGTGGTAAAGACTTATAGGATTTATTGCATCAATTATGGTTATCACCAAAAACAAGTTTCTCAAGGTCATTTTGAGCTCACAGCGACCTTTGAGTCAAAAGTTTCATCAATTCAATGTCCAACCAAATCATCAGGTCATCAGTTCTTGAGTTATAGCCAAAATCATGTTTTGTGAGGTCACAGTGATCTTTAAGCACCAAATTCTAACCAGTTCATCGTTGAGTCTGAGCTGACGTTAGTGCCAAATTGGAAGTTCCCTTGAGGTGTTCCTAAGAGATCACGTTTACAAGAATGGCACAATGCCTCTGGAGGCATAAAAAGAGAGCTGAAAAGAGAAGCTTAAACCCTGCCTACAGTCATACCTCTATACACACCTGAGTGTTTGTGATTGTTGAATTGTCTGTGGTAGAAAGTGGTCACAGATTGATATTTGAATTGGTTGACAAGCTCCAGGAGGGCAGGTCTTATCTAACATGAGCCTGCCAGAGGGCAGACACCAAGAGAGCGTGATTGTTGAGTCTCAGTGGATCAAATATCAATGCTTGGAATGAGACTGAACAATTAGCTATCTTTCTCGGCTCTGATTAGCTTACTTTCGTTCAGGCCTGGTGATTTCTTACAAATGCCATTAGGCGCAAAAGGAAGCTTGATTTTTTCACAGATTATCTGTCTCATGTACTACTGTCAGGATATAGTGAAAGTTTCAGTGAATATAAAAAGATTATTTTTATAAAAATTACCTACTGCATCTTTAAACCCGTCAATAAGTAAAAAAAAAACCTTAGAGTAATCTTTGATTCACAAGCCCTTCTTGATTTTAAGATTTAAAAGTACAGTTAATGTACACAGTAGGCGCCCTAAATATCCCAGGCATTTCCTTCATTTCTGTGAAGAAAACAAAAAACACAACAAACCCAAGTTGTGAGCTAGTAATCCCAAAAGACAAGAAACTGTAATTTGATTTAATCAAAATTCCATGCCAAAATGTATCCACATTCCTGTAGTGCATCTGTGTTCACTGTTTGGGATTCCATTGCATACACGGTCGTCATCAGTTTTCCCAACTGTTATGATTGTTATGCATTGACATACTAATATGCAATCATCGATAAATCATGTCACTTAGTTTACTCAATGATAGACATTTAAGGGCTCCATTAACCCTTAAATGGGCAAGCACAAATAATTAAAAAAAATAATAATAATTGGTATTTTCTAATGTATTTAGGATAAAATTACACAATTACATGATTTGTTTTTCAAAATATTGTCTTTATTTTCCAATGTACAGGCTGAATCTCCTGAGATACATTTCCCCCTTTATAAATAGTTTATGTGCCAACCTTTAAAACATTTTATAAACAATGAATACTTCTTTCATGTTTTGTATACAAAGATTTAAAAAAAGTGAAGAAAAAAAAAAAGCCAATAGTTATTCACATAAGTTTTGAATGCTCCAAATGTGACAAATTTTACAAAAACTTCGATTGTATGGGTGTGTGTGTGTGTGTGTAAGAAAGATAGAGAGAGAGCATGTGGACACTACTGAATTAATTAATAATAAAAAATTAAGAGTAAAAACAATATTTCGTAAATTTATATGGTTGATTATTTGTAGAGGCCTCAAAACAGCATAAATCTGTGAGTGATTATCCCTGTTTCATACCCTAATCTGAACAATATATGCCTGATGATTAAAGCTGCAGTAGGTAACTTTTATAAAAATAACTTGTAATTACTAATGAAATTTTCACTGTGTTGACAGTAGTAAAAATACCTAGTGCAGTTTCAAAGTTGTGAAAATTCAATCCATTATATTTCACTAAGAACATATAAAATCATCATTAAAAAAACAATATTGTCCACCAAAAAATAATAAACATGAAACTTACTTTTACCCCACTTTTACCACCAGTGTTGTTGTTCATGTACACTGCCATTTTGAATTTTCACACAGATAAGAATATTTTTGAATGCTGGCATGAAGTCACATGACCTGAGTACTTTGCCACCCTCCCTTCAGTGTTTAGCATGATATATAGATAAAAGCACCTAACCGCTTACGTGGCAAACTTAGCCATTGTCACCACAAGCAGATTTTTCCACAGTGGTCTCTGGTAAACAATTTACTACAGTTTTCCTCTAACAGTAACACTAATGTGGCCATGGCCCATTAGTTAGTTACAGTTCAATTTAAGTAGAGTTTATTTTATTTTACAGAAAATCCATCTTCTATAAAGTGAAAGTGAAACAACCAAGATTATTTCCAGGATATTTGGTCAATTTTATCAATTGCCAGGTATTTTCATGTTTGGAAAACTAGTCTCTAAATTTCCAGGTTTTCCAGGACACATGGGAACCCTGCTACATAGAACATGTAGAATAATTTCCCCATAGTATCCCATACAGAAGGGTGATACATATTCTTTGTAGTTTGTTTTCAAGAGAAAAGAAATTAGGTATGATGTAAAAAATAACCTTTAATATAGATTTTTTTGAATTCAGCAGCTATTGCACAGAATTTGTCCCCAAACGCTACAATGAAGAATTCTGAACTCTGTAGCTCTAACTTATACCTCTGACTGGCTTCATCTGACAAAAATGATTGGACGCAGCCCTCTGATTTCAGATGCTGTTAGACAATCTGACAAGCATTCTGTTTGAAGCATATTGAAACCTTTAAACATAAGCAGCAACCACCACAACTGAGTGCTGAAGCTAATGCTCCCAGTTATTAATTTCCTCCTCTGCTTTAATGCAGCTTTAGACGGACGCTTTCTAATGGGTTTGGATGTTGGCTGGTGTCCGACTGCTCTTGGACTGAAACCATATTTGGCTTCTAGCACCAGTTTGGTCAACTACTTAAGATGAACTGGTGTACAGTTAAATGACTCATCTTGGAGACCAACCAAGAGAGACATTACAACACCCCCGTTTAAACCACAAAGCCTAGGAGTGATTTTTTTCCAGAAGTTTGGCAGCATCAATGCTATATAAAACCTATGAATTTCTATTTCAGCACTTATTTGTCCTAAAGCATTGATTGGTCCTAGAACAATTTAAATGATGGCAATCATCTCAGATTTAGCTCCTGATCACCAGGGCCGGGTGCTCCTGTATTCCTGCTTCTGCTTGACCCACTGGGCGGTGTAGCAGTTCTCTCCTACAGTCCACGACCAGCCTTGACTGCTTCTGTCGCTCTCCTTTTCTGACAGATGTCCCTGCAGGTCTCCTGCTGGATGCTGTAGACCGTCCATCCCCATGATATCCTCTACAGCACCACAGGCTTCAGCATCTGTATCCGGGTGTGTCTCTGTGCCGTCTAGGGAGCTCTGGCTGCAGACAACACTTTTCTTGGATGTGGACAGAGGTGGAAGCGAGAGAGGCCAGGACCTTGGTGAAGGGGCATTACAGTACATGGTCAATGGAAGGAAGAGGAGGGATGAAGGCAGAGGGCAAACATGTTGGAGAAAAAACTGAGATAAATATTTACTGCATAATAACCCTATGTGCAGACATATATGACTGAAACGCAAAATCCCAAAAGTCACACATAACACCACAAGTGGTTACCGCCTTCTAAAAGGACCATATGACCACATGGAAATTATTTTGTTTTTATTCTGATCTGCCACCTCTAAGATTAAAGCTGCAGTAGGTAACTATTATAAAAATAACTTTTTGTTATATTGGCTGAAACTTTCACTATATGCTGACAGTAGTACACTAGACTGATAATCTGTGAAAAAATCTGGTTAACCTCTGGCTCCTCTAGTGCTAACCTGAAATGGATTTGCTAAGAAATCACCAGGCCTGAACGAAAGCAAAAAATCAGAGCTGCAGTTCCTCTAATGGCCACTTGAAGCTGGCTCCAGCAGTGAGTCAATCTCAATAAGGCCCCATATTAAAATGCCTTTACAGGAGAAAAAAACATGTTTATAGTATGGTACAGAAAACACTTTTGGTCTCTGTAGGTAATTTCCCATTCATGACAACTGTACAGGGGGTGTATTTTTATATAACTCACCTGTTTAAATTATATTAGACTTAAATTTATGTTTAATTAAGGGCGTGGCCACTTTCTATGACAGGTGGGTGCTTTTTTATTAACCAGGCTTCATTCAGCCCGCCTCAGCTCTACTCACACTCCACCTCTTTGCTCATTTTTGGATTAGCTGGGAGCTGCCAAGATCGCGACGACCACACTGAGCTTCACAACAGCTCTTCAGAAACCTATGGGTGACGTCACCTGACAGAACCCAGTAGGAAAACCAGAGTCAAAGTGAACAAGTCATGGGCAGACAGAGAGTTGCTGGCAGTGGTATTGTCAAGACAGGTGTGATTCATTCCACAGAACCTGAGGACCACAGTTACAGGTCCATGTCTTATTTGACTTCTCTGTGTTTACTGTTGTGCGTGAAGAATACTCCTTCAGCTTCTATGGATCTACGTCACAGAAAATGTTGCGGACGAGCAAACCCCTTCTGTGCTTTACCTTTTGGTAGCTTGTGTGAGAAATGTGAACATATGTCATGTGGCTGGAACGCGCAGGCTGGACACAGAGGGAATGTGCACAGGCGTCAGTCAGAAACATTCATGTGGCTGATTCTTTCAAACTTGTACTGAACATGCACATATTTTTTCTTTTCAGATCAAAGCCCCTTCCCACAGGAACTTCCATTAGATTGTTATGTTTATTGTTACCAACAACACCAAACGACCAATGAAGTCGTCTCCTTTACAGGGCATTTTAGCCACAAATGTCTGCACACAGGGAGAGCCCCTAAACTTCCTCACTTTCTTTGTTCATGCTTGCTAAGCTCCTTGAAAATGAACAGTTAAATATCCAGGTGTCTAGTGCAGTGGTATAAATACCTGCTTTGTGGCGTGTGAATACTGGCCAACCTGTGTGTGCCTGTGTATCCCAGTGCGTATGACTGATCCCCCACTGGTCTCAGACCTAAGGAGGCACAAGGTACTAACACATGAGCAAGGAGAGCAGAGCTGCCTGGCTGTACTGCATATGACTGGGTGGTTTTCATTGTGCAACATTCTGCTCCATGAGTGATAACAATGGATGAGTCCTCGAGTCAAGATTATTTTGTTGCCTAAATACATCCCAACAGGTAATGACAAAGTTCTTAGACGTACCATTGTGTCTTATGAAGAGGTGCGTAGGCTGTGACAATCTTGAACAAACCAAAGAATCCTACACACAGTCCATCATCTGTACATTCCTACTAACTATTTAAATGTTTGATAGAGGACATTTTATTGAAAAATCAGTTCACCTCCTTACAGGAAGTTGAAAAGATAACAGTCACTCCAGATATGAGTTTGGTGGAATTTTCAAAGGTAAAATTATAATTTTCTTAAATTTAGATTTACATATTATAGGTTCTTACTGTATATAATTATGTAACTTGATACGATAAAAAAGTCTAATAAGGGTTAAATATTTGTCTTGAAACATGCTATACCAATCTGTTGTTTGTCATTTTATGGTAAAAGTAGTGACGCTAGCTAATGCATCAAATTTGATTATTTGCTACAAAATAAAAACCTTCTCATCTTTCATTGTTGTAAATACATTTCATGACAGTCTGTTATATATGACTTTTACTGTTTACAAATATGCTTGACCAAACGGTTACTTTACTGATAAAGGCAGTGATGCTAAGACTTACAATTTTCATGAAATAAAAAACATAATTAAAGCTGCAAGCAGCGTTGGGCGGGCCCTCGTACTCCACGCAACTTGGGTTTCATTGAGATTGGACCATGTACACTGAAGTTGTGAGGACGTGTTCAGGGTACTGAAGATATGAGTACTAAGTGTTTTATGGCCAATCGGTGGAATTCGACATGCACGTGGTTGAACACGTACAAGTCCACAAATAAGCCAACTTTTGATCACCAAATGTGTCTAGATTGCAGTGATTGATTTGAAGTCAATCTAATAAAATTCTGTTGGAAGGTAGTTTAGTAAAACAGAATTGCCCTTAAATGCCGGAAAGGCCGAATCACATTTTGATTAGACTGGCCAAACTTTTGACCGGCACCGCCAGCGGAGCCAGCTCCGATGAATTCCGCCTAGGAAGGAGTTTCCGTTCAAATCAGATCAGAAATCAGAAATACTTTAATAATCCCGTGGGGAAATTACTTAAATACACAATACTTTAAAATACACCGCGAAAAATTCACCCGAAAATGAAGAATTCAGAAATGGCAGCAACTTTGACGGCACG